GGCCACCGCGGACAGGCGTGCCCTAAAAGACGAAAAAAAAAAATAGCAAAATCAACACGCCAGTTCCAATTTTTCTTTGATTTTTTTTTCTCGAGATCATACGGTGCTGGGCGCGACGGAGGGATCAAGGGCGTCGACGTCAAAGGACAGATGGATGGGGCGCGAGCGGTCGGGATTGACGGCGTCCATGGCAAGCTCCATGACGCGACCAATGCCCATGGCATCGACCTCGTGCATCGAAAAGGCCTTGATGCCAAGGTCCTTGATGATGCGCTTCTCGCCCTCGTCGACGTCGCGCAGCGCAATGTACACAAGGCGCTCCGGACGAAGGACAGCTTTCACCCACTCAAAATCAGGGTGCGTGGCAAGACCAGCAAGGAAGCTGATCGGGCACCCGTGGATATTACCGGACGGGGTGGATTCAGGGGTATTGATGTCCTATCATAGACCGAAAGAAAAAAAATGAGCAAAAAAATGCGCAAAAATCCAAAAGATCTTATCAGATTTAATCTTCCCACGCTTCCATTGTTTTTAAAAGCCATCTGTCTGTGCCTTGGCAAAACATTGAGCGGGTCGTCATGTGACAGACACGCTCGCCCGCTCACGCGTGCGTGTGCACGACACACCGATGCAAAACCACAACACACACACACGCAAAACAAAAATCACTTACAGCATGTGCATCGACCCAGAAGAGACAGGCGTCTGGGTAGGCGCGGAAGATGCCCGAGACGGTGGCGAGGCCGAGCGAGTGGTCACCACCAAGGGTCAGGACAAATTGTCGCTTGGATGCATACGCAAAAATCTGATCGGCCAGGCGCTGCGTGACGGCAGACACAAACTTGGGATTGATCAGGTTGTTGACGACCGGATCGTGCGCAGGACGCAGATCGTCAAGATCGTCATTGGCTTGGTACGACGGCTGCCAGCCAAGCTCCTTGATTTGCTCAAGCAAGCCGCTCTCAATCAGCTTCATGGGACCGCCCTCCACACCTTCGCGCGGCTGCCCAGCATTGAATGGCACGCCAATCACGGCAACCTCCTTGTTGCCAAGAATCTTGTGATCACCCGTCGTCATGAGTGTTTTGTTTTTATAAAAAAAAAAATGAGTGAAACAGGAAAGAAAAAGGCACAGCCAGTGGGCAATCGTGAAAAAAATATTTAAAGCGCACCAAGAACTCGATCCAATCGATCGAACCGCCGCTTGAAAAAAAAAATGCCTTGCCTCTCAGCCATCCCGCAAAGGTGAAAAAAAAAAATGATGCAACAGCACAAAGCGCCACAAACGGTGTAATTTCCTGTTTCCGGCCGCCAATTGCTGCTCGGGGGTGGTTGCCCCTCCCGATGGCCACCTCGATGACAGATAGACAGACAAGAGAAAAGTCGTTTTTAATTCATAAATAACAAAAAGAAGCTTTCTACATCAAGCTGCGGCGGTAGCGCAAAAAGAGGAGGAGAAGGACGGCGAAACTGATGTGGAATCGGAAGCCCGCACGACGCAGCTTGTAGTAATAGACGACAGGATGCGTCGAGAGCACCATGCGCAAGGTCGACAATTTGCGGCTCGTGTACGGAGGATACCTGAAGCTATTAAACACCTCCATGCGCAAATTTTTTTGCATGATTGGGCGCTCATGCGAAAAGGTCTCGAACGACTTGTCGCCGTGGTACTTGCCCATGCCAGAGTGGCCCACACCACCAAAGGGCAGCGCGTATTCTGCAAAAAAAAAAAAAAAAAAAAAAAAAAAAAAAAAAAAGAAAAGAAAAAAGAAAAAGAAAAAGAAAAAAAAAGGAGAAAAAGCGCGTCAGATCATGTCATGGGCGTGATTTTCTTGACGGATCGGGGTTTACCAGCTTGGTGCACCATTGTGTCATTGATCAAGACGCCACCGGATTGCGTTGTCGTCGTGACTAGTCCGAAAATAAAAGGTGAGTGGGGATTTTTTTTCTTTTTTTCAATAGGGCGCCTTACGTCGCTCAATGGCTTGCTTGTTCTTGGAAAAGATGTACAGCGCGAGCGGTGCCTCCTTGCTGCTGATGTAGGCAAGGGCCTCGTCCAAGTGGCGGTAGGCAATGACTGGCAGCACGGGACCAAAGATCTCGTCGCCCATCAGGACAGACTCGAGCGGCGACACGCCTGTGATCAGCGTGGGCGCAATGTAGCGCGTCTCGCGGTCCATGTCGCCGCCAACGACCACGTCGCCGCTCTCGCGCTCCGCAATCAGGCGCGCCACGTGGTCAAAATGGCGCTCCGACACCATACGTGCAAAATGCCCCGACAACTTGGGATTCGCGCCAAACCACTTGGTGACCGTGCTCTTGAACGCTTGCGTAAAAGGCTCAACAAGCGATTCGTGCAGCAGCACATAATCTGGCGCGACGCATGCCTATTAAAACATGTCAGTTTTAGATTTTGTCACTTTTTTTTGGCCTTTTTTTCATGTACCTGGCCGCCATTGAAGAACTTGCCCCAGGCAATACGCTGCACGACCGTGTTGAGGTTGACGCCTTGCGTGACAATGGCCGGACTGCAATGGGACGCGAGAGGGGAAATGAGAAAATGGCTAAAATAGGCTACTTTTTTTATTACCTCTTTCCGCCCAATTCCAACGTGACGGGCGTGACGTTTTTGGCGGCAGCTTGCATGACAATCTTGCCAACATTCGTGCTGCCCGTGTAAAAGATGTGGTCAAAGCGCTGCGCAAGCAGAGCTGTGGCCGCATCGACGCCGCCATTGACAATACGGTACATGCGCGAGTCGACGTACGTGGGAAACAGGTCCGCGAGCAAATTCGCAGTATGGGGCGCGATTTCCGACGGCTACACAACGATAAAAATGAGCCAATGTCTACTTTTTATCATTGTTTACCTTGATGATCACGGTGTTGCCGGCGGCAATGGCACCGATCAACGGCACCAGGGTCAATTGGACAGGGAAATTCCAGGCACCTGTTGAAAAAGAAATTAGAAAACGATGGCCCGGTGGAATCAAGTGTCACTTGCCTAAAATGAGAACAAGGCCAAGCGCTTCCTTGCGCACCACGGTCGTACCACTGGCGGCAGCACCATTTCTACCCTTGATTTTCTTGTCTTTCACAAGGCGATCCAAATTCTAAAAAGAAAAAGAAAAAAAAAAAACTTGAAAATCAGCATGGGAGTACCACGAAAAAAAAAAAAAAAAGTCATCATACATCCAAGTAGTAGACGCATTCTTCAAGCACAGGATTGATGTCGCCTGTAAACGCCTCCAGACGCGGCTTGCCCATGTCCTTGGCCAGCGCGTCGTAGAATTTCTCTTCATTTTCCTTGACCATGTCATGGATGCGCTCAATGTTCAACCGGCGCCAGCGCAATTCACGCGATGTTCCTAAAAAAATGCGTGCAATGAGCCCTGAGAACAAAAAAAACGAGCGTGTCTTGCTTTTCTTACCAGCCAAAAAAGTGCCGCGCAGGACAGACACCGAGTCCTCGAGCGTATCAAACGATGTGTGCTTCAAAACCATGGTAAAAAAAACAGAATTAAAGAAAAGAAAAGAAAAAGAAGCTTTTTGTAGAGACGATGATTTTCATCCGCATGAAAAAGAGGGGGCTGTGGAAGTGAATGGGGTTTGGTTACCTTTGTCCGACAATGGGCACGCTAAATCAAGCAGGCGGCGTCAGGCAAGCGTTGGAGACTCACGTGTCACAGAACTTTGTCCCCCTCCGCCCAGTCTGCGCGGCTTGCCTTTTTTTTTTTTTCATATGTGCCCCCCACATTTTTCATTGCTTGTCGTGCCTTTTGCCGCCCACCTTTTTTGCGGAACAATCCAGTGTCACAAGGTCGCGTCCCCCCACCGACATCCATGACAGCCAAAAACAAAACGAGATGGCCAAATTGTTCGCCACGCGGGGGAGAGGGGCGTTGCGCCTGAGGTTTCATCCGTCGGCCATGCCATTGTCCTTGCTGTCCCCGCCGCTGACGTGCCGGTGTTCCCACCACCGCTCGCGAAATTCGGGGTCGCCATATCGCTCCACGTGAAGCTGCCTCAAATACTGATTGATCCCGCTGTAATCGCCCGTTGACACAATCGGTGCGTGCTCCTGCAACGATAGCGTAGCAAGCGAAAGCTCGGCGGGCCTATTATTTCGTAGAAAAAAAAATTCAAATCAAAAATTGAAAAAAAAAAAGACGAAAAAGGTCGAACGCTGCTGCTGGCGAAATCACACAATGGCACTTTTGTTGCTTGCAAACGTACGAGGAAGGGATGTCGTGGTCCAGTTTGACGCGCTTCAGACCAGCTGCTTGGCTCGGCCCTTGCACAGCGTCGTGTTCGTCTTGCCGCACGCGCTTGCCTTCGGGCTTGTCGCTCATCGTCACTCACAGTCGCTCACCAAAAAAAAAAAAGAGATAAAGAAAAAGCCAAGCAACAACCTCCTCACTGCGCAATTTTCCTGCCTAAAAATACAAATAAATCATCCAACTTGGGTTTTCCTTGTTTTCGGCTTGTTGACACCGGCTCTCGATACCCTCACGCTCTCAATTCTACTTTTTTTGTTGCCAATGCGCACGGCGCTTGGCCAAACACCCTCTTTTCCTCTGAATTTTACTCCTGTTGGCGCTGAGCTCCCAGCGTCGTGGCGCCAAAATGGGCCGTTGAGGGCTCCCCTTCACACACACACGCGGCATTTAAAATTAGTCCAATCACAATCAGCGCAGTAGCTAGTGGCAAATTGACGCATTTGCGTGTTTGACGCGTTTGACACGTTTTGCTGGACGAACAAACAAGACAGTGTACTCGGAAAGGGAGGTGGTTCATTGTTGCAAATGCTCGCATCGCATGGCTTGCAAATCGTTTTTTCCCAATGGATCAAAGATTTTTTGTACAATAAATCAAAGAAAAAGAAAAAATCAATGGCTTCAAAAATAAAAAGCTATTCATGCAGCAGCAGCGCGCGGTCGTCGCGCGCAAAAAACTTTAGAGATGCCTCAAGAATGTCTAACATTTGCCACAATTGTGGAAGGGGATATAGTGTAATGGTATCACGTTTGCTTCGCATGCATATAATCCGAGTTCGATTCTCGGTGTCTCCAAAAAACCTTCCAATTTTTTTTCTTTGCCGGGATAAGCGGTTTTTTTGAAACGGATTGGTGCGGTCTTTTAATTTTTGGCGCACCAAGGTTCATTATTTAGGGCCTGATGACGGCTTTTGGACATGTGTTCAACATCCATTGATGAATACCACGCCACTCAAAAAGATTTACTTTTAAAAAGAGGTGTGCGCAAAAAAAAAAAAAAAAAAAAAAAAAAAAAGGTGGTGCATTCTTTGCAGGATGTACGCATCCTTGGCGCTCTCCACCAGTGTAAAGGCATGAAAAACAGCGCAGGTATTACGAAAATCCCTGAAATCGTGATTGAAATGCGATCCTCCCGGTCGATCTCCGATTTTTTTTCCCTAGCACCAGCTCTAAGCAGGATAGATCGCGTATGGCGCCACACTCAAGGTGTCAGATCGATGTCAAAAAATATGGCGTCGGACAATCCGGACAATGCGGGGCAAGGACGGCCAGGTTGTGCACAATTCGTACACATCGGATGAATGCCCGAGCCGATGGCCACAGAAACTCGAAAATGACGTGTTTTAACCACTTTCCATGATCTGTTTCATGTTTGGAATTATGTAGACACGTTTCTTACATAGGTGATGGTGGAGCCATCCAAGTCAAAAGTTGGAAACAGATGTTCTAGAAATCCGTCAAACTTACACAAAAGAAGAATCGCGCACCCAAAACCACGAAAATGACAAAAATGAGCGCGATCCATTTGCGCGTTGATGAGCAATGAGCGATTTTGTATTTAACTTGACAGGTGCAAGGCCCCGGTGGATGCTCCCCTCTCCCATTTTCCCCACTCTTGCTTACCTTTTTATTTTTCTTAAAAAAAGCGGGATCATGACCAGCTTTTGCGGCCGGCATCATATGATTTTGTAAACACTACGGGACGCGACGTTGGATTTGTCTTGGGGTTGATGTGGCTGAGGCGGTTGCCCAGGACGGCGAGCTTGGCGAGGGCGCGAATGTTACGTGCAGCGTTAATGTCGCGTTGCCACAATCGGGAGCAGCTTTTGCAGGCTACCACCGAGTGCAATGCGTACATTCGACCATATTGGGGAAACACCGTTTTGTTTTCGAGGGAACACCTCACGCACGTGGAGCATGTTTTGGATGTAAACGATTCGTCGACGTCCAGGACGATCAGCCGGCCCTGGCGTTGGGCACGGGCAAGAGCCCTACGGAGCAACGCGCTGAGGCATCCACCAGCAAGAGACATTCCGGGCGCATGAATTGGATGCGCTCGCGGACCGCGTATCATGGAGATGGCGCGAGTTATCACGCGTCAAGGCCGGCCCCAAATAGGTCCCTTTTTCTGAAATATGCTCAATCGGTTGTAACTCATTATTTCCACTGATCACTGGTATTAACGTACTGTAATAGATCGTGCTCTTTCTGATGGTTTTTTTTTTTTTTGCTAAATTTGAAAAAAAAAATTCGTCACCGACTTATTACAGTGCCACGAAACTTTTACATGTAGTGGATGATGTGAACGGCGTAGCCATTGGGGCTTATGGCGACAAGTATCCTTAGAATGATGGCAGCCAGAATGGCATGTCTTGAGATCGATCTGGAAGTAATGGCCATTTCTGTCCAGAAAGCGCTGGACTAATCGCTTGGTCGCCGCGAAACGTTGGTTGCCGGAAATTGAAACATTAAAGCGCCAAAATCCTCTGGACCCAGGATGCCGATGTTGAACCAGGAAGATTCCGTTTTGTCGAGTGGGTGCCAAGGAGGCTCGCGTGCTTTTTGACCAACAATCGCGGATCTGGGCGCGACAGGTGCGCGTGGTTCTACGCGACTGTCGTAAGGAATCAGTGTCTGCAGATTGTCAATGTCGTTGTTTTACGAATCAGAGTTGATATGGTCAATTTCCTTGGACTTAACGAAATCTGGGTCAAATGCATTTTTCTCAAAAGTTTATCAAATTAATAAAATCGTGCAAGGACTTTATTCGATTCTAAATTAAATTTTGCATGACATCGAGCAACAAAATTGTGTTTTGAGCAATTTTTGGCGCACTTACATTAGAAAAAACTGCAGAGTTCGAGCAAAAATGCAGTAATCTCAAAAACCAGCAATTAATCATGCAATTTAAACAACACCACGCGACTCTACATCCACGAAAACATTCTAAAACACGAATTAGAACACATTGTGCATAACTAAATCCTCCCTTTTACAGTATAGAGAGCCATTTGAACAAAGTTAGCATGCAATTGTCGTTTTTTTTTGGCGAGAGTAGACGTTGTCGTGAAGCTTGCTGACAACTTTCAGAGTCGTCAACGGTCGCTCTTGCATGAATTGGCGTGTCGCATCCATGACCGGCTGTGGTAAAAAGTCGTTCAAGTCGGGGCGGACGTGAGATTCCATGTGTAGTGCGCCTGTTGCGCACGTTTTCAACGCGTGAATGTGGGTGTCGACTGTCGAGATGCAAGAAGCGCATGCTGTTGCTTGTCAGTGCCCTCCAATAGGACACGGGTCGCTTCCACTTGGCAGGCGAATGTTGACACCACAAAAAATACATGAAATGAGCGCATGATGCTACTGTAAATTGGCCTTCTTCATCATGGCGCAATTCACCTCAACTGTGTCCCTTGGAAAGTTGGTGAGAACTCTTCATTTTTTCAAAATCGGCACGGCACGTTATCAAGCGGCCCCTCGCCCCATAAAGCATTTCATTTGGGTAATTTTGGTCCCAGCTTTCTCGAAATGACTTGAAAACCGAATGCAAATCAGGGATTTGACGAGAAAATCGAGAGTTCTCAAGCAATCCACAATTTCGGCGCTCGCGTATCAAGTTTGAATTCGATCAAGCTGAAAACTTGCAAGTGGAAAGAGACGTGCACGAGGGTCCTTTATTCCTGCCCGGCAAAGCCGATGGACGAACTTTGTACGCTTGCATAATGGGATGGAACACTTTAAGCTCGATTTTCTTGGCCACAAGCCACACAACCTGCAACATACTGCTACCGGTATGACAAGGGATGCAGAATTTGATCCTCTGTCGGATGAACCCAATTTCACCAGCGTATGACCAAAACTGATTCAAAAATTCCATTTTCTAAAATTTGGCGTTGATTGCTTTTTTCTCGAAAACAGCTCGATTGACCCCAGAATTTTATTGCGGATTTGCTTAGAAAGACGGGGTCATCGCATCTAATGACATGACTCTCGGATCACCAGCGTGTAGGTTGCCAAACTGATTTGACAATGTCTGTCGAGATTGGACCTCTCAAAGCCAAGGACCTTCAGGTGCCTTTTGGCCTAACTCACCTTTTTTACTGTAGGTACAGTATGCTAAATTAGAAAAAATATATTTCATCGCCAAGGAGTCGCCGCAGCTCAACGAAACTTTTACATGTAGTGGATGTTGTCCCTCTCTTCTCAGAAAAAAATAAAAAACCAAAGGTCAATCATGTGGTTTGTCGGGGAGCACGATATTGCTGAAAATTTGGCTGTATCGCGTTTTTGTAATAATCATTTCGCAATAAAATCATGCTTGGACCATTGGCCAAACTTTACCACTTGGCTATTTTGGCTCTCTCTTTGAAGGAAAATTAAAAACCCAGAGGTTGTTGATCAAACCGTTTTCGAGGCATGCACCATTTTCAAGAATACTGTAGTCACAAATTCAATGATGATCAACACAACTCATGATTCGATTGCCTCCCAACGTTTGCCTTTTGACTATTTTGTCATCCTTGTTTCAACAAGACGTTAAAAACCAGAGGTCTACTGAACCGTTTTACCGATGAATTCGAAATCTCGACGTTTTTACAAATACGAAATTAAGCACCACAAATGATCATGATTGGGTCGTCCAAAATAATTGCATAATATGGTTATATCGACGCGTCTCTTTTTGACATGACGTTCAAATCAGGAATCGACCGAGTCGTTGTGAAGATGAATCCAAAATCTTGATATTTTTACAAATCCAGAACGGGTTCTCAAAATATTTGGTGGATCGCGATAAAAATGGCGCCGTTCGAAAGAGATGCACCCTGGTGTCATTTCCTGATTGTTTGGGCACCCGATAAACGAACTTTGTACGCTTGCAAAAATCGACCAAACATCGGATTAACTTTCAACCTCGATGTTCTCGGCAACTGATTGGACGACATACGCGTTTTCAACGTGTCGTAGGCACCTGTTGAATGTCTATCGAATGAGACCAGGTTCATCGATGAGTGGCTAAAACTCGCAGAGAAAATTCACTTTTCCATCAAAATCTTTGAACGCGATTTGCTCGCCAATCGTCTAATAAACCTGTAATTTTTATTCCAGTTTTACTAACAAATGGGAGGCAACGCACCTAATGGGATGACTTGCGGCGCGCTGGCTTGGGTTTTAACTTTTTGGATCGACCATTTCCCCAGGCTGCTGCAGCCCACTCAGCGCACAAAGATGTGGCAAAATAAAAATATAAAAAAATGCAAGAAAAAAATTCCATGCAATTTACGCACCTTAATTTGGAGGTGTCAAACCTTAAATTTTTGCAAAAAGTCTTGACCAAAGTAGGCACCTTTCTCAGTCGATCGCCGTTCATGCGTCACTCTTTGGGCTTTTTTCTTATGTTAGGGCGACCTGTCATTTTGTGAGCCAATAGCAAATAGTCGGAGTTACCTGTTTGGGATGCATTGATCACTCGGAGTTCGAAATTTCTCAAATTTGGCGTTTTCTGAGATCGAAATATGTGACCCCTGAGTGACCCCTGAATTTTTCAAAAGTGGTCGTAGCGCGTTGGTTGTTTAAGCTTTTTTGTTGCAAATTTACGTAGCGCTGAATTCGATGCAGCTAATTTTGAGCGGGGTCAACCATGCAGATGACCAGATGAATGCAAAATAGTACTGTACCAATGTGAGGTTTTTGGCATTATTGAGTCCAAAAAAAATCGAGCGGGTCCGTGTTAAACACTGGGCTGTAGTTTATGTCGTGACGCAGGTTTCATTGGCGGGCAGGTAGGCTGTAAAAAAATT